AGTGGGGTGGCCAGGGGAGGCCCATGGGGTAGCCATTGGGGTGGCCAGGGGAGCCCAGTGGGGTAGCCAGTGGGGTGGCCAGGGGAGCCCAGTGGGGTAGCCAGTGGGGTGGCCAGTGGGGTAGCCAGTGGGGTGGCCAGGGGAGGCCCGTGGGGTGGCCAGTGGGGTGGCCAGGGGAGCCCAGTGGGGTAGCCAGTGGGGTGGCCAGTGGGGTGGCCAGGGGAGCCCAGTGGGGTAGCCAGTGGGGTGGCCAGTGGGGTGGCCAGGGGAGGCCCGTGGGGTAGCCAGTGGGGTGGCCAGGGGAGCCCAGTGGGGTAGCCAGTGGGGTGGCCAGGGGAGCCCAGTGGGGTAGCCAGTGGGGTGGCCAGTGGGGTAGCCAGTGGGGTGGCCAGGGGAGGCCAGTGGGGTGGCCAGGGGAGGCCCGTGGGGTAGCCAGTGGGGTGGCCAGGGGAGCCCAGTGGGGTAGCCAGTGGGGTGGCCAGGGGAGCCCAGTGGAATAGCCAGTGGGGTGGCCAGGGGAGGCCTGTGGGGTAGCCAGGGGAGGCCTGTGGGGTAGCCAGTGGGGTGGCCAGGGGAGGCCCGTGGGGTAGCCAGGGGAGGCCTGTGGGGTAGCCAGTGGGGTGGCCAGGGGAGGCCCGTGGGGTAGCCAGTGGGGTGGCCAGGGGAGGCCCGTGGGGTAGCCAGGGGAGGCCTGTGGGTTAGCCAGTGGGGTGGCCAGGGGAGGCCCGTGGGGTAGCCAGGGGAGGCCTGTGGGGTAGCCAGTGGGGTGGCCAGGGGAGGCCCGTGGGGTAGCCAGTGGGGTGGCCAGGGGAGCCCAGTGGGGTGGCCAGTGGGGTGGCCAGTGGGGTAGCTAGTGGGGTGGCCGGTGGGGTAGCTAGTGGGGTGGCCAGGGAAGGCCAGTGGGGTAGCAAGTGGGGTGGCCAGTGGGGTAGCTTGTGGGGTGGCCAGTGGGGTAGCTAGTGGGGTGGCCCGTGGGGTAGCCAGTGGGGTGGCCAGGGGAGGCCCATGGGGTAGCCATTGGGGTGGCCAGGGGAGCCCAGTGGGGTAGCCAGTGGGGTGGCCAGGGGAGCCCAGTGGGGTAGCCAGTGGGGTGGCCAGTGGGGTAGCCAGTGGGGTGGCCAGGGGAGGCCCGTGGGGTGGCCAGTGGGGTGGCCAGGGGAGCCCAGTGGGGTAGCCAGTGGGGTGGCCAGTGGGGTGGCCAGGGGAGCCCAGTGGGGTAGCCAGTGGGGTGGCCAGTGGGGTGGCCAGGGGAGGCCCGTGGGGTAGCCAGTGGGGTGGCCAGGGGAGCCCAGTGGGGTAGCCAGTGGGGTGGCCAGGGGAGCCCAGTGGGGTAGCCAGTGGGGTGGCCAGTGGGGTAGCCAGTGGGGTGGCCAGGGGAGGCCAGTGGGGTGGCCAGGGGAGGCCCGTGGGGTAGCCAGTGGGGTGGCCAGGGGAGCCCAGTGGGGTAGCCAGTGGGGTGGCCTGGGGAGCCCAGTGGATTAGCCAGTGGGGTGGCCTGGGGAGGCCTGTGGGGTAGCCAGGGGAGGCCTGTGGGGTAGCCAGTGGGGTGGCCAGGGGAGGCCCGTGGGGTAGCCAGGGGAGGCCTGTGGGGTAGCCAGTGGGGTGGCCAGGGGAGGCCCATGGGGTAGCCAGTGGGGTGGCCAGGGGAGGCCCGTGGGGTAGCCAGGGGAGGCCTGTGGGTTAGCCAGTGGGGTGGCCAGTGGGGTAGCCAGTGGGGTGGCCAGGGGAGGCCAGTGGGGTGGCCAGGGGAGGCCCGTGGGGTAGCCAGTGGGGTGGCCAGGGGAGCCCAGTGGGGTAGCCAGTGGGGTGGCCAGGGGAGCCCAGTGGAATAGCCAGTGGGGTGGCCAGGGGAGGCCTGTGGGGTAGCCAGGGGAGGCCTGTGGGGTAGCCAGTGGGGTGGCCAGGGGAGGCCCGTGGGGTAGCCAGGGGAGGCCTGTGGGGTAGCCAGTGGGGTGGCGAGGGGAGGCCCGTGGGGTAGCCAGTGGGGTGGCCAGGGGAGGCCCGTGGGGTAGCCAGGGGAGGCCTGTGGGTTAGCCAGTGGGGTGGCCAGGGGAGGCCCGTGGGGTAGCCAGGGGAGGCCTGTGGGGTAGCCAGTGGGGTGGCCAGGGGAGGCCCGTGGGGTAGCCAGTGGGGTGGCCAGGGGAGCCCAGTGGGGTGGCCAGTGGGGTGGCCAGTGGGGTAGCTAGTGGGGTGGCCGGTGGGGTAGCTAGTGGGGTGGCCAGGGAAGGCCAGTGGGGTAGCAAGTGGGGTGGCCAGTGGGGTAGCTTGTGGGGTGGCCAGTGGGGTAGCTAGTGGGGTGGCCCGTGGGGTAGCTTGTGGGGTGGCTTGTGGGGTGGCCCGTGGGGTAGCTTGTGGGGTGGCCAGTGGGGTGGCCAGGGAAGGCCAGTGGGGTAGCAAGTGGGGTGGCCAGTGGGGTAGCCAGTGGGATGGCCCGTGGGGTAGCTTGTGGGGTGGCCAGTGGGGTGGCCCGTGGGGTAGCTTGTGGGGTGGCCAGTGGGGTGGCCCGTGGGGTAGCTTGTGGGGTGGCCAGTGGGGTGGCCCGTGGGGTAGCTTGTGGGGTGGCCAGTGGGGTGGCCCGTGGGGTAGCTTGTGGGGTGGCCAGTGGGGTGGCCCGTGGGGTAGCTTGTGGGGTGGCCATTGGGGTGGCTGGGGATGTTCAGCTGGGCATGTTCTGGGCATGTGATGCTGGGCTTCCCCAACCCTGGAGTTCATGTACTCCATTTAAGGCCTAGTCGGTGATAATGACAGCAATGAGCTTTCCGTACAGGTAGAAGACAAGGTGAGCAGCTTTAGGATCAGATCTCATTGTTTGCTCTGTAATTATTGTTTAAGGAGAACCACCATGGCACACAATTGCAGGTTAGAGGGCTGTAATCAGGCTGTTTGCCCCATCTAGCCGAAATGAAGTCATTTATCTCCAACAGAAGGAGGATGGAGGAGCTTTAAAGTCATCAGCTTTAACCCCTTAACAACCACACTTTTATAGCTTGTGCACAAATGTATAGCATACCAAAACTGCCATTAATCAGTTAAATTATATTATAAATCCCACATGCTTGTGATACATCTTATTTGAAAGGTAAGACCTTCTAGTTTCTGTAAATATGTGTTCAGACTCTGTAGGTTTTACACAACCCCCTCAAACAAAAACAATGCTATTTTTATTATTGTATATTTTTGGATAATTTGTATTTGACCTCTCCTACTTATTACTACACTTGTTCGTTATCTTGTGGACAATGACTGTAAAATATCAGACCTCTAGCCGTGAGCATTGTGAAACTATGACTCTTTTTGTATGTAAAAAGGTCCATTTGGCACAATTGCGCTGCAAAAATTAATTAATTAATTTTAAGTAAGAAAAAACACATCTGCATTGTCTTATTTCAAGTGCACTATTATCTATATTATATTTTAAGAGCAAAAATACTCACTCCATTGGCAGGTCGTCTAATTTACCCACTGAAATTAAAGTCAAATACATTTAAGACATTTTTGCTCATTTCTAGATTTTTTTTTTGCACAGTGTGCCAAAGTTGGACCAAATGTAAAATGTTAAGTAGTTAACACATCTACGAATGACATCACCAAGCATTTGCGTCTACATGCTCGTTCTTCTATTATTATTAGTAGTATACTTTTATTTTATTTTTTTGCCTTTATTAGAGATTTTTGTAATACAAGTAGAAATACGTACAATTTCCAGTGAAAAATCGACAGGGGCTTGAACAAAATTAGTGATAAAAAATGAAAAACAACTGAATAAACGTAAAAAAAATTGTAAAAGTGATTAAGTAAAGTGAGACATAGAAGCATATAAAGGGATTACATAAATATTTTTAATTAAGAGAGATAAGGTTTAACAGCCTTTTTGTTATTGGAAGAGGATAATGCAGAAGAATAAATTGTTGATTCCTTTAAAAAAGAGATAAATGAGGGTCAATTTTACATATGTGGCCAACAGAAGCAGAAGATTCCATAAAAAGAAATGGTCAGAAAGTTATTTTCTATATTCTGTAATTCCAAATAAAACATCCTTAAAATAAAGTTAAAATGTGTCGTTAATGTTGTTCAGAATGAAGTGACAAATAGCTTGCCATAGCGGCCTGGTTTACTCACAGGATCAAAACAGACTCAGTAAAAGCAGCAGGAAGTGCAGGTGGTATCATGTCCTTTTTATATCTGATTTAATCAATAAGGACTTTACTGGGTAACAGTGGTGAATTTTTTTAGAGGAAACCTACAGAAGACGATTAGGTCCACTGAAAATAAATAAAAAAGTTAACTGATTTTTACATTTTATTCCAGTATAATATGGGATAAAAGTCAGAATTCTGACCTTTTCCCATATTATACTGAAATAAAATCAGAATTCTGAGATTAAAGTCAGAACTCTGAAACTAAAATCCGATTTCTAGGAAAAAAAGTCAGAAATCTGAGAAAAAAATCAGAATTCTGAGATTAAAGTCTAAATTTTGGCTTTTTCTAATACTATACTGAAAAAAAATGTAAAAATCAGTTAACTCTTTTTTTTTCCAGTGGCCCTAATTGTCTTCCATAGAAAGCTCTTTAACCTTGTTTACTAGTAAATATGTATTGGGTAGAGACCACGCTTTGTTCCAGCATACTTCTCAGACTAGACCAGATTAGACTGAAATTATGCAGGGAACTGAGATGCAGTCTGCTTGGAATAAACAGAGTCTACCTACATCAGGTGGAGCAGGTAGAGGTGGGGGGCCTAAACCAGTTTTCAGAAAATATCTTTTTTTCTTATAACATATATCTTTATTATCCCAAAGAAAGTATCTTTTAGGGGGAAATGTTTGAAAATCAATGACCTTTAATGCATACTCTATAGGTCTATGAATCGCGGGCTGACGTCAGAGCTACGCACTGCGTCCCCCGCGCGGTAATTGGCCCCCCCTGCGCTCCACTAAGGTGAGTGTGTGGCGTTTGGTGGGCGGGGCTAAGGAGGGCGGCTTATAAAGGGGCGCCCGGCGCTACCTTGGCACCTCTGCTGAGTTTTAGAGGCAGGGAGGCATCAGGAGGGAATCCATCAGAGAAACCAGGAAGACATTAAAGATGTCCTCTAATAAAAGTGATGGCGGATGGAAGCAGTTCCTGTGGAACTCAGAGAAGAAGGAGCTGCTGGGGCGGACAGGAGGCAGCTGGTGTGAGTACATCTTTCTCTACCTCCTCCAGGTGTGGAGCTAAAATGTCCCCCATTTATTCTCTGCATGGCTGCATTTTAAACGCGCTTAATTAAAGTTTTTAATTAGGTTTGTTTGTGCAGGTTGAGTTAATTACCTGCAGGATTAAAAATAAAGTCTAGATCCAGTAATGAAGTGAAGCGGCAGCTAAAGGGTTAAAACTGCATCAACGGTCCAAGGTGACTGAAGGTGACCGCGGGCCCCTCCTGGTCCGCACACCTGGGGCCCGGCTCGCGCTCCCATTGATGATTATGATGATAATGAGGTGGGACCGGGACCGGAACCGGCGGTCACCTCCCCGTGACCTTCCTCTGCGCCCCGCGCGCTCCGGCGGCTGCACGGGTTTGCGCACGCGCGCTACAGCCGCTTCTTCATGAGTGAGCGGTTGTCCTGGTAACGTGTCCTAAACCATTGATTATGGAGGGGGGGGGGGTCTCTGCAGAGGATCTATCCGGAGGCTCGCTTCATTTCCTTCCGCCGTTCATCCTTCCTGCAGGGGCGGGGCGTCTGTCCTTCTGGGGTCACCTGGGAAAAAATGCTGATGCAGGAGGAGGAAAGCTGCCACCGTGACCAAGGGTTGCCATGGCAACGCATCTATAGAGTAAACATTTAAGAGTTGTTAGTATTTTATAACATCCTGGAAAAACAAAACTTAATTAAAGACTAAAAAGCTTCTTGTTTTTATGGAAATGTATCTTTTTTCTTGTTTTCTTCCTGTCATTTTTTTCGGAGGAAAATGGCCGCCTAGGACGGTTGACCTTTGATCTGTGACCCGGTGACCTTGCGTCAGCGGCGGCGAGGCTGTTTTATATTTTTCTGAGCCGTTCCTGTCTCCTCCCCCATCCTCCTCCTCACCCCTCCTCACCCGAGACTCAAAGCTGCTCCTTCTCTCCCCCCTGCAGTTAAAATCGGACTCTTCTACTTGATCTTCTACGGCTGCCTGGCGGGGATCTTTGTCGGGACCATCTGGGCCATGCTGCAGACCCTCAGTCTGCACAAGCCAACCTGGCAGGACAGAGTGGCCCCCCCTGGTAAGACCCCCCCCCCCCTCCAGAGAGCAGCTCTACTGATGATGATGTGATTATTAGCCGTCATGGCTGCTCGTTCTGTGTGGACCTGGTCCCAGCGCAGCCTCTCCATGGTGCCGTTACCACGGCAGCCTGCTCCACCTGAGATTACCTGGGTGATGTCATTAATGGATTATTTATCTGTCAACAGATTATTAATCACTGTCAGTGAGAGATTATTCATCCCTGTTAGTAATAGTTTATTAAATTCTTTTATTCTGTCAACTTTTTTTAATATGTCAGTAATGGATTGTTCATTTTATAGTAATAAAATTACTAAAATTATTATCTAATTATTAGTCTGTTAAGGTAAAATATAAGTCTTAGCAATAGTTTATTAATCTCTGGTAATAGATTATTGAATTATAGTAAAAACTTACTACTTTTAATGATTCACTGATGGAAAGTCTGGAGTTTTTTTTTTTTTGTTGTCCATATGAGCATAGAAATAGAACAAATAGTAATTTCTAAACCTTTTATTTTTGTTTAAAATGTTTTTCTTTCTCTCTGCCTTCATTATCTTCTGTATTTTCTTCCTCTTTTCTAGTCCTTTGTTCCTTTATGTCCATCCTCCCTTAAACACCTCCATTTTTCCTTCCTCATATCCTTCCTATTTTCCCCTTTATATTATTTTTGTTTTAAATCGGGCAAAATGCAAATAAAAACTGTAACTTGAGAAAAAAATACTTTTTTTTTTTTTTTTTTTTTTCATTGAACTATTCAACCAGTTCAGTGAAGGTAAAATGAGCTGTTTACAGATTAACATTTGGATCATAGAAGCACAAACTAAAGCCATGTTTTCAGAGTAGATCTAGCATTCTAGAATGGGTTGAAGTAGAGCTTGACTGATCTCCAGCATATTTATTTTGTACATTTCTTTCAAGTTCTGATTGGCTCTCATTTCAATAAAGCTCAAATTATTCTGGCTTTTAGCCTCTGTTAGCAGTTAGCTCAGTTAGCATTACTGCGTTAGCATTCACTGGCTCTAAGAACTTGATGGATGTACGTTCAAGCCGATAATTGACCTTGGCACGCTGCCCCCTGTTGACCAGGTGACGTTCAGATCCGATTATGAAGCAGACTATTGTTCCTGTTAGCATTCCTCCTAGCAGGAATGCTAACAGGAATGCCTGCTAGCAGGAATGCTAACGCCTTTGCTCACTGTCCGGTCTTCCCTGCAGGCCTCTCTCACGCCCCATATGCAGACAAAACGGAGGTGGTGTTCAACGTCAGGGAGCTGGAGACCTACCTGCCGTTCACCAAGTCTCTGAGGGAGTTTGTTACCAGATACGACGATTCCAGGCAGACCGACAACATGCAGTACGAGGACTGCGGAGGTACGAACCTGCGTCTCTGACTTTCTCTTTGAAAAAGAAAAAAGCCTCCTGACCTTTTCTGACTCCTTCAGATCAGCCTGCTGAGTACAAGAACCGAGGCGACTTGGAGAGCGACCCGGTGCCTAGGAAGGCCTGCCGCTTCTCCAGGTCTCTGCTGGGTCCCTGCTCCGGCCTCGAGGATCTCAATTTCGGATTCAGCGTGGGCAAACCGTGCCTAGTTGTGAAGCTCAACCGGATCGTTAACTTCCGTCCCAAGGTACCCGTGTTTCCTTCAAAATAAGAGTCTGGATTGGTCCTTCCTCTTTAACAATCTAAGCCGATTTTGTCTGTTTAGCCTCCTACCTCCAATGAAAGCATCCCTGATGAAGCTCAGCCTAAAGTCCAGCCTAATGTCATCCCTCTCTACTGCACCAGCAAGGTACAACTTTTTCTTTACTTCTACTTAAAAAAAAAACAAAAACTGTTTTTTTCTGAATCGTTGTAATTTCCTTTCGTCTTAGAAAGAGGAAGACGCCGACAAAATCGGAGAGATCAAGTACTACGGCATAGGCGAGGGGTTCCCCCTGCAGTATTACCCGTACTACGGCAAGCGGCTGCACCCGCAGTACCTGCAGCCGCTGGTGGGGCTGCAGTTCACCAACCTGACCCGGAACGTGGAGCTGCGCATCGAGTGCAAGGTGTTCGGCGAGAACATCGACTACAACGAGAAGGACCGCTTCCAGGGACGCTTCGAAGTCAAGATCCAGGTCAACTCATGACCGCCGGGAATGTAGACCGCCGCCCCCCCCTCCCCTCACACCCCTTTAAACGGTACAGCACATGCGAGGGGACGGCTCGGCCAATCACGACCAGTCTTAACTTAAACCGATGAAAGGAAACGCCATTTTTAATGGGGGGTGGCGGCGGCGTAATCAGCCTTCATCACTCGCTTCCGCACCTCTTTCTAGCCTTAGAATCAAATTTAGCGAAAGGATTAGCGATTTTAACTAGTAATTCCAGCGTAAACTGGTTTTCCATAAGCCATAGGACGTCGCTCATCGCTTTCCATGCATCTGTCCCTCCTACGCATCGCTGCCTTGTGGTTTTGGAGTGAGCGGGACCGCAGATTCTGGTTCCTCTGAAATGCACTTTTATTATTTTAGACTTTAGCTCGTTCTCGGTGTGTCCGAAACCAAAGCACACGTCCTTTAACTCGACGATTGACGTCTTCCGCAGAACTTCCTTCTTTCCTCTTGAGATGCGTTTTTATTTCCTCTCTCGTCTTTAACTGGGTTTTCAAGCCTTTTTAGCGTTTTCGTTGCCTTTGGATGTAGACCGGCGCCTGTCCAGACGGTTAGCCTCTTTAGCATGCTCTTGGGGCAATGGTGCTAACGCGTTTTATTAACGTCTTTTGGTTCCGGCTGGATTGTGGCGGCGTGACTCTGAATGTCTGGAAGAATTTTCTATTTATGCAGATGTACGTTTTGTTTCGTTGCAGAATATTTTGACTGTATAAAGGCAATACCAAAGCGAGCGGGAGTGATTTTATTTTTTTGAAGAAGCAATACAGTAATCGTCTTTTGAGTGCTAAAAGTCCACGTCTCGCCTTGCGACCTTTTTCAATAGTTCTGCTTCATCTTAGGGCCAAGTACAGCGAACTAGTAGCAGGCAGGTGGAGCTCCATGCATTTCAGATTAAGCTAACCCCCTGACTGCCCAACGCTGGTACCCTAAATGTTTCATAGGATCTCATGATGATGTAAAAATGCTCCGGCCTTTCATCAGTTCACCCACCTTTGCTTCATCGGAGATGAAGACCAATAAAGTATAGAGAACCTTTTCTCCTGCGTCTCATTTCTTAATGCAGCCTTAAGAAAGTCTTGATGCTCACTTGGAAGTGTTCATAATGCTCAAAACACTGCCATCTACTGACCAAAATGTGTAACTTCCTCCTGATTATCAAAGCACTTTGTTCTAAAGCAGCATATCAGAATTAATTTATTACTGCAGTTGGTAAAGGAAACTATAGGGGGAATGCAGCCAACTGTATAGACATAAGGACTGCAGCAATCCCTCATATGACGCATGCATGCGACAGTTGGTGCTGAATTGACTCTGAGTGACTGAGTAGGGATTCTAATTATAGAGGAGGGCTGACATCAGAAAATGAAAACAGAAACATGGGAGTTCTTTCAATAAACAAAACGGGAACAATGGCTTTCTTTTTCAGTGAGAATGCAGCTAATTTAAAGCCTCGGAGGGAGTGGTTAAAAAAAAAAAGTTGGTCATGGAAACAACTCCTCCAAAAAATAGATTGTTTCTATAGAAGGGAACAGGAAGGTTTAGGGTTTTGCTCAGGAACCCAGAGTGGAGGCTTTTGGAATCAAACTGGGTACTTGCAACCTTCTTAGAGCACAAGCGCACTGCTCTAACCCACTAGGCCGACACTACCCCTCTTTATAGATTCCTCTGCAGGATTTGAACTCATGAGCTTCCAGTTTAAGCAGATGCTTTAACAATCACACCACAGGCCCTGAGTTACAGCCAAACAGGAACAAAGCAGATCACACTCAGAGAAAAAAAGCAGAGAGCAGAACGTTAGAGATTGAACTAACAGATTCTGCAGAGTGGGAGAATAGAGATAGAATGATGAAAAAGGGGTCCCTATGTCCTCCAGCAGTCTAAGCCTATAGCAGCAGAACTATAGAGATAGCTCAGGATAACCTGAGCCACTCTAACTATAAGCGTTATCAAAAAGGAAAGTTTTAAGCCTAGCCTTAAAAGTAGACAGGGTGTCTGCCTCACGGACTAAAACTGGTAGTTGGTTCCACAGGAGAGGAGCCTGATAACTAAAAGATCTGCCTCCCATTCTACTTTTAGAAATTCTAGGAACCACTAGTAAACCTGCAGATTGAGAGCGAAGTGCTCTGTTAGGAACATCAGGAACAATCAGATCTCTGATATCAGATGGAGCTTGGTTGTTTAGGGCTTTGTGAGAACAAAGTAAGGACATATTTTTTATATCCAGAAAAGTCTCTGTAGTAAAATGGTTAAAGTCTTCAACTGTAATTCAAACCTGGTTGCCTCAGGAAAAGCATCCAGTGTGAAAAGTCTGAGGAATCCCTGAATATAGGAGCAGCTGAAGCGTCTTTAACAAGATAATTTAATGAATAACTTTTCTGAAAAACACTGCAAAAACGATCTAGAAATAAGTCAAGAGTATTTGCCTTTAACTTGAGCAGGTAAATAAGACGATCTGCCAATCTAATAAGTATATTTACTCTTAAAATACAATAGTTAGATAATATGCACTTAAAGAGGACAATGCAAATGTATTTTCTTATTTTAAATGTAAATTGTCTTGTTCCACTGGCAGTGTTTGTCTTTTCTCAATACAAGAAAAAAAAAACTTCTGAAAGACTGTTGAAAGATTTCGATTTTTTTCCAGAGTATAGTTTTGACCCTATTCAATATGGGATTTAAATAAGTAGAGGCAGGTGAAATGTTACCCAAACTAAATTCATCATTAAGCAGTTTGCTAATTAGGAGGACTGGTCCGAAGATGACTAAAGTGATACAGCTGAATATCATCAGCTTAATGATAGTAAATCAACCCAAACTGCCGAATTTTACATATTTTATTTTCAAATTTAAAGCCCTTTAGTTGTTGGATTCTATTTTTTCAATGAGCTGAACTCAAAAGACCTAACATATTTTCTCTGTATAGGAAATGTTTATTCCTTTAGGCTGGCAGCAACAAAAAGCAGCTCTAAAATGTGTATCTGCATCAGGATCAGCTTCTGAAGCCTGTTTGAAACCCTGAAAGTCATCAACACTGCTGATTTGTTTCCATTAGACAAAACAGAGTTCCACCTTTGATTATTTTCATGCTGGGTTTTCCCCTATAAACCCCAAACTGGCAGGTCTGTGGTACTAGAGGACATGCTTCCTATGAAGACATGTTTGTTCTTACAGCTAATGATGCTGTTAGTATCTGCCACTAATTCATTTTTCAATAACTTCGTCAGTAATGTAGCAAAATGAGGAAAAATCCCCTTTATGTCCTCCAGCATATTAAGCCTATAGCAGCATAACTTTTTATTTTTCATCTTTTACCCTGAACATCAATTTTTGTAAACATTGTGAGATATGTGGCCACTTTTAAAGGGACATTTCTGTTTTCAGCAACAGTATTAATACAGTGAAAGCTTCTTCATGTCAAGCATTCTCTGAGGTAGTTCTCTGGGACAAAGAGTCATTGTCAGCACAAATGGAGGAGGGGTTTCCTGTTCCTGGAAAGGAATTAAGCCGTCCACCTGCATGCAGGGAGGGCGTGTTGGGCTGTCTGTTAAAGAACAGCACTTAAAAAGATATGGACTGGTTTCCAGTTTGCTCGCATTCTTTTCATTAGTAATGCCTGATGCTGCTGCCCCGTGGCCAAAAACGCTCATTTCGAGAAACTTCAATTTTTTTTAACAAACCTTTTCCTTCGGTCTGATTACAGTTTGAAAAAGACACAAAGGCCTTTTGGGACAAAATGTAAGATCTGAATCTAAAACAATATGTGTCTTTCGATAACGTAATTGCTGCTTCTTGACTAGTAGCCACATTCAGTTGGCCACTAACAGAAGAAAAAACATTTTTATGCAAGGAACACAACAGATTAGCTGGTAGGGATTTGATTCCACAGCCTCTTGGCTGAAAGCCATGCATGCTGACCAGTCAACCAAGGGATATTGCTGTGGTCACATAGCCAGGACCCATCATCAGTGGGAGACAGAGAGACAAGACCGCACTGTCACACATTCATGCAATCAGTAAAAGCTGAAGGCCCTAAAATAGAGCCCTGTGGGATTCCTGTTTTGTGAGTTTCAATCGATCGGTTGGTCCTTTACTACATCACATTGTTCTCTGGTTTGGAGAAAAGATATAAAGGAAATTAGGGAGTATTTTCTCTCCACTGTTGCCACATGCATGCTCAGCATGAGAGATTGTTAAATAGTTAGCGATACAGTGCAAAACAAAGTCTACTGTCGCTACATTCCTATCCAGGAGGAGAAAAGTCAATGACTCGATGCAATCAGCTGGTTTTCCTTAGATGGAAAATATAGGTAGTGCTTTAAAGGCTCTGTACATGCAGCTAGCATGGTCTTTCCATCTGTTTGTCTGGAGGAGTAATTGGTTAGCCTACAGATTTGGTGGAAGACTTACATTGATACTAGCCTCGTGAGACCATCCTGATCTCGCGAGCTTTCAAGGTTTCACTCGCAGATCAGTCTGGAGACTCTCCGTTGAAGAAAATTTGGAGCCGTTCACCAAACGAACGTCCAATCAGCGTTGGCTTTGAGGCGGGTTGAGGTGTGACGCAACGAGAAGCGCGACAGTTCAGTCTAAAGAACATGGCGGCTTCAGCCGATGAAACTAGCGTTAGCGTGGCTATCGAGCAAGTTTTATGGGAATTACAGAGTATTTGTTCACTGAAAGAAGAGCAAAACACTGCTCTGGAGGCTTTTCTCAGAGGAAAAGATGTTTTTGCTCTTCTCCCGACTGGTTTCGGCAAGAGTTTGATCTATCAATTGGCTCCTCTTCGTCGTCGCTCTGTTAGTACGTCATATGCTTCGTTGATCTGATTGGTTTATTTGGCCCGTCTATCACCAACATAGGTCAATCAGCTAACCAGTATTTTCGCCCCTTCCCAAAATTACTTCAACGGAAGGTTTCCAGATGGATATGCGGAGCAAATTATTGATGATTTTGTTGAATGGGTTGCTAGTTCCCTGTGTACTTTCTTGAACAACATTCCCCCTCTGGAAAATAGAAAGCTGGCTCCCTGGTTTAATGCAGAGCTGTGCACTAGAGACTGACACGGGAGTGGATTTTCACTCCTGTCCCGTCCCACTCCCACAGAAAAAAATGGTGTCCCCTCCCGATCCCGGGCCAGAGTAGAAATCTAAATCCTGTCCCGTCCCACTCCTGGTGAAATTACTCCCACTCCCATCCCGCTCCCATTCAGAATGACTCCCGCTCCTGCACCACTCCCATTCTTGTTGTTTTTGAGCGCGGGTGAAAAACTCAGAGCGGAAGTTACTATTGGTTTGCTCCCGCTCCCGTCTGCTCCCGTTAATGTTTAATCCTGTACCGTCCCAACCCCGTGATCGTTACTAATACTGACTCCCATCCCACGGGAATCCCACGGGAATCCCGTGACCCGTGGGATTCCCGAAAAAATGTCAGTCTCTACTGTGCACTCTGAAGCAAACTGCTAGAGGACTGGAGTGAAAATGGCGCTCAACATGCCTACGGGTAACTGAGTTTGGCAAAATAGTTTACTGCTGTACAGGAGGACCCTTCGCAAAGAAAGAGCAGCGTATTTATCTTCTTTAATAAAGGAGAATAAGAATATTCCTAGATAATTTTTAAAACAGTTGCCTAACTTGCCCAAAGCCATAGCTCTATTAGACGGTAACGCCATTTTTTTTACATTGGACCTTCTATTCATTCTAGCTAATCTGAATCGTTCAATTCCATTTGGAGAGCGAGATCATCTGTGGTAGCAGCACTAGACATCTTCCAGGCATGTGAGGAAAGCAGTGAGCAGTTCAGCGGACAGGAGGAATGAAGGGTAGCCGGCGTACGCTGATGACATCATACACACTCCGCTTTGTTTTAAAAAAATATAAATATAACCACGACTCATTGACTCTTCAGCAATCCCTCACACTAAGCATGCTTGTAGCGACAGTGGAGAGGAAAAACTGCCTTTGAACAGGAAGAAACCTCCAGCAGAACCAGGCTCAGTGTGAGCGGCCATCTGCTGAGGCCCACTGGGGTTCAAGGAGAC